ACATTTTATGCAAAACAAATATAAATAAACATAATTCCTGAAGTTACTAAATTTTCATTCCTTTTCATTTAAAGACTAACTTCTTTTAGTAGTGACTGTTTTTTCTACTTTACTAATCACTTTTTCTGTTTCACTCAAATAAAAATATACATGAATATATTGAGTGATAAAACACTAACAACATCATTTTTCTAAGATCATGTAATACATTGAGCATAAAAACAATTATCTAAACCTTTGCCTTCACATTGAAGAAAATTTTTTTTTGTGGATATGTGGTGATCTAGCTCAAATTGAGCAAACATTCAAATATTCTTAACATTTAAAACCTTAACACTTTGGTTATTTCTTCTGTTCTAGAATATGGATGTTTATAATCAAATACATATACATGAACATAATTCTTTTTCTTTAGCGGAATCATATTTTATAATGAGTTAATATTCTCATTTCAGTTGAAAACAAGTTTTCGAGTTTGTATATTAATTTTATAAGCATGTCTATAATTCATTGTGTTAGCATTTGAAACATTTTAAAATTATTATTATACAATTCAAATACTGTTGGTATTAATACCTTTTGAATTCATTACCAACTCCTTATCTACATCTATAAAAAACTAAAATTCAATTTTGTAGATATTCCATACAATTGATTGTGCAAGATAGCACCACACAAATGGGATTGGTAGCTTTTAGTAAAGTCGCAAAGAAGTTAGTTAGAGCGAGTATCATAAAACTTGCAACACTTAATACTATTCATCATATAACATTGTCTGGACCTATCAAGGCCTTGATCAACCAAACAAGGACATTTGTAATAGTTTAATGTTAAAGGCAATTAAAATAAGAATTTGAAATTACAAACTATTCAATTGTGATGTGATGGCAAAGTAAGAACCTATCACTCCAACTTCTACAAGCATTGTTGTATCCTCATCACATTCATTAACAATTGAACAACCAAAGAAGTAGCATCTACCATCACCAATCAACACATAAGTAGCCAGAAAACTTTTCTTAGAAGACACTCTTCAAGAAAGTGTTGCCACCAACTAAGGATAAGAATGACCCAAGAAAAAAAATACAAAGCTAGGTTCGGATTACAACACGATAAACTTCATTTTACACATTTGCTCTTCATTTGCTTGTTATTAGGTTATTTTTTCCTTCTTTCATTTGAATGTTCAACACTTTCAAAATTGACACACGATTCTAGCACTTTTGTTGAATGATTTATAGTTGAGATATCAACACTGAAGTTTTAAATAAATTAGAGTCTTCTGCGCATTTTGAGAGCTAGAAAGAAACAAAAAGTCTTTTTTATGGATAATGAAATTCTGTTGCTGATGGATGTTAAAGTTTGCCTCTTTTAATTGTTCGTACATACACTTCATGGATGCTTGATGTAAGCTATGTATTATTCATAGAATTTTAACGTTTTTTGCTTTGGTTCTTGTGTTGTTGAGATAATTGCTTATGTTTCTTGGATTTATAACATTGGGATTAGTGGCTTCATTTTTTAAATTGAAACTTAAAATAACTGATGGATGGCCTTCTAAAAGAAATTCTTTCTTGAAGAAAATCAAGAAAATCATTGGTTGACGATGATGGAAAATTGTAAGTAAAATATTCATGCAATATTGTCATTAAGATATTTGATAAAAATTTCAAATAATATATGATATTTCTTAATTATTCTGCCATTGTTTGCAAACAAGGTACACATTGAACCAAAACCTTGATCGAAGTGCAACATTACTAAAACTTTTTATTCATTTATAACTAATTTGAAATCTTGACATCTAATTGCCAGCTAAGTATCAAAATGCCTCATTCTTTTGTTTCCAGGTGGCATGTAATATTACACACTATAATTATATCTTTTGATATATGCTTCAAGTGTTGGCTAAACTTTGAAACACTATTTTATCTAATTACATATATTTTGTAACAACAACAATGCCATTTTTTGTGATGCTTTGCAAAATCCTTATATTGATTTCTACTTACAGGCACTACCTTTTGTACCTAACCTAATAATGATGGTATAAAATTAAATTGTCGTAATATTGCTTTACATTTTTTTATTGATATTTACATATCTATACATTATTACAATATGTATATATAACTATTACAATATGTATTATTATATTTGTATGAAATGCACGGGTACATTTTTAGTATTTATAATTATGTGAAATTTAAAATAAAAATAAGGTGTGTTCTTTAAATTTGACTCTTAACTAAAGGCTGGATTATTATTCTAAACGAGGTTGAAAACTTTGATTCTTTTTACATTTGATACTCAAATCTCTAAACCAAGTGTTTTTTATAAGGAGAGAGAGTTGTGGCCTTAAGGGCTACAATTGGTTCTCAATTTCGAGTAAATATCGAGTGATGGCTCTGAAATTTATTTAAGTGGCACAATCACAGGTTTAGTTAAATGTGAGCTCTCCCATCATGCCAGCCTTTTAACTTGGGATTTAAGCTTTCGAAAGGCTAGCCAAGGCCCACGGCACGGCAGGACAACCTATCTTCCTAGGATTCTTTTTCCACCTATGCCAACAATTTCGGCTTTGAAACATGCATCGACTAGCAAGGCTTAGCATTTAATTTCGTTAAACAATATTACTTATAGATTGTATTCTGGAGATTTTTAATGTTTCATTGCATGAAAATAGATTTTTAAATAAGTTGCTTTTCTTTCATAGGGCTGAAATTGCATATTTTATCTCCAAGAAACATGTCCTTTATAACCATAACCATATGGCATAATTTAATGACACATTTGGTTTGTGAAAGTGTATAAAATGAAATAAAATAATTATTTCGTTGATTTAAAATAAAAATAAAAAATAAAATTATTATTATATAATTTGATTTATATAATGAAATATGATAAGAATTATATTATTATTTATTCTAATGTTTGATTAGTGAGAATATTTTTAGAATAATTAAAAATAAATAATAAAATTATAAAATTACCCTTTATTATAATAAAATTTATTTTCATTAAAAACAAAAATAAATTCTATTTTCATTAAGCATCAATAATTTATTGTTAAATTATTAATATAAATTATTAATATTTTTAATTTTTTATTAAATTATTGAATAATTTATTATTAACTTGGTTATATGATTTTTAATTTTAATTATTTGAATTATTTTTCTCTATTTGTATTTTTTATTTCTTAATCTTTTAATTTCTATTTTCATTAAAAATTAATACTTTATTATGAAATTATGAAATTATTAAATAATTTATATTAAATTAGTTATATAATTTTTTATTTTAATCATTTGAATAATTTTTCTCCATTTACTTTTTTCATTTTTTAATCTTTTTCTTTTTTTCATTAAATATCAATAATTTTTTATTTTAATTTCTTTTCATTTTTTCATTTTTCCTCTTTTTCTTTTTTTCTTTCCATTTCTCGTCTGTCGTCGGTCATTGGAGCAACCGCCGGCGTATTGGAGCGCCAATCTGGCACTAGCTGCAACCCAGATCTGGCCGTTGGAGCGTCGATTAGGCATTGACAGCGGCCAGATCTAGTCGTCGAAGGGTCGATCTGCCAAATGGCGTCGCCAATCTGACGTTTCCGGCTATCAGATCAACGCTCCAACGGCCAGACCTGACCGAAAACATTGCCCAATCGGCACGCCAATATGGCTGTCGTTTCTTTGAGAGTCAACGACGGAGAACTTGGCAATGATGACGACGGAGGATGGCGATGGCTGTGGAGGAGAGCCGCTGCAAACTTGCTTAAAGAGGAAAGAGGTGGGAGGCACATCAAGAGGAGAGAAAGAAAAAGAAAGAACATGAGAAAAAAAAGATGAGTTGTAATTATTTATCTTAAATAGGGACATTTTGTCCAATGGTATTTTTATCCTATTCTATCAGCTTTGGAATTGTGGAATGGCTCTTTCTAACGATAAAATGCAACCAAACAAAGGGATAAAAATGTGAAAGGAACAACTTAACTATTCTCCTTAGGTTTCTTAAAATGGAAATTTTGGCTTATCAATTTTTCTTTTAGTGTAATTATATATGTACGTTTTGATAACGACGGCTGATGTCCCAATTCCCAATTTCACAGATATATTTTGGAAAATATATATATATTTAAATCATATGATATTTGATTTCAAAGTAAGCCATCAATTTTCATCTATTGGTTAGAAGATTATATATAGGTCGGCTCTTGAAAACCAATACTCCATATAATTAGAACTTAAATATTAAAGCAGTGCAATTTTTGTTTTAGCTTATTCTTGATATACCCGATGGCCTAATTAATTTATTTTTGACATTATATCATAGGAGAAGTCACGTACATCTCGTGTATAATTGTATGAATATACATGCAAAGTTCATTAATTTTATATTGACTCGCACCTCTTATATATTTTCCATGTGAACTGTTTATTCGATGTACACGTAAAGCTAAAAGGTATATTTCTTTTCAGAGGAATGGAATCGTAAAGAGTGACAGATTAAGTTCACTATCCGCGCTTGGTTTAGGTTGTGTAATAAAAGGATTATGACATAATAATACTGTGGGAAGAAAAAGTAAAATTATCGTAATTTTATTCACCTTGTTAGTTAATTTATTTAGATTTAATAATTAGGTGATACTGTTTTGAGTGCAATTGTCATTTGAGGAAGAAAAGAAAATACTTGCATAAAATGAATGCAATGGTGTTGGGCAACCATGGAGATCCCGCCTTCGTCTTCTTGGTAACATTCATTCTTTCTTTCCCACAGTACACAGTACAGAAATCTTTTTTGGCTTTCAAAGGTCAAAAAATATAAAAAAGGGTTTTCAGTTAAGGAGATAGTGACATACCAACCACAGGGGGTGATGGTAGTAATGATAGCCAGGGAAACTGAAAATTTAAGCAAAGCTTTTGCCATCCCATTTTTAAACTGTGGTAGGCATACCTGTCACAGCCACCTTTCTTTCCCTCCCCTTTTTGTCATCTCTTCCTTTGCTTTTGCCTCAAATCTTCCCTCCCTTTGCAGTTTAAACTTCCTTCTTATTCTTGTTTAATTTTCTTCAAACCCAATCATCCCATCTCTCTCTCCAAGTTTTCTTCAGCTTTCGCATTTCCAACAATTCTTCCTGCTACAACTTTTCTTGGTAATCTTTTAATGCATAAGTGTGGCATTTAATGCTCTTATATATGTGCTCATGTTTCTTGAATGATCACTGATCGACTCAAAAATTTGGTGTGATATTCAGACCTTGTTTCCTGCCAACAGTTTGGATTCTGGTATGATCTTTAAATTCCATTTAATGCTGCGGTGGACATGTAGCCTTCATATTCCAGAGCCTGAAAACTACCCAACATTAACGCAAAAAAGCTTAGAGTAACCAGTGAACATTGGAAGAAAAGCTTTTCACTTATGCTCCACAGGCTCTGAAGGTGCTCATGGAGAAGAAAAACAAAGAAATGAAGTCGAAAATGGATGACTACCAAGTAATAGAGCAGATTGGAAGAGGAGCTTTTGGGGCTGCATTTCTTGTTCATCATAAAGCTGAGAAAAAGAAGTAAGAGGCACTCTGCCACATCTTCTCTACCTGGATTTTATTTTTCAACTTTGATCTATATCTATTTTTAACTGTGACAGTGAATTAAACTTGGGTGTTAAAATTTAATCTGATTGCAATAATTTAGGAGTATGTGAATATCTATCTATCTATCCATCTAAACAAATGCAGTTTCATAATGTGATAACTTTAGTGTTGATACATGCTCTTTGATATTAAATCCGCAGGTATGTATTGAAAAAGATTCGTTTAGCTAAACAAACCGAGAAGCTTAAACGTACAGCACATCAAGAGGTTATTCTTCTGAAGACTGACTTTTCAGCACAACTGCTTTGAACACATTTTGTACATTTCTCTTGCATATATCATGCTTAATGGTTTAAATTAGACTATTATTACTATATTCCATCCCCATGTACTGATCTCCTTTAAGCTTTGTATTCTTTCTACAAGTCAAAATGATATCTAAACTACATGTTGGAATATCTTTTCTTGGTATGTGGTACCTCTTCACCTAATGTACTTTACATTCCTATATCTTGGCTTTCGGCTTTGAAATTAAGCTGAAGAACAAGTGCCATTAGATAGGTTTTTGATGTAGTTGAAAGTATTCTTGAAAGGGGTTTGACCTGCAAAAAAAGAGAAACTAGGATGGAACATCTCAGGTCTTTGAATGTTAGGCACTGATGGGTATGTTCTTTGAAACGTTTTTCTGATATTTGACAAATGTTATGATGCTACCATCTACGGTGAACTGAAGATGTTGGCTCTGTAGAATAATAGTTCATATAGGTAAATAAATAGTTTTCATCATCTGGCATATATAACTTTTGTTTTATTTCTCATGCTTATCAGTGATGAATGAGCAGTAGGCAATGGAGAACGATATTGGTTAAATTTCAAAGTCTTACAAGAAAACTGATACTATAAAAACTTTCTGTTCATATTTCTGTTGCAGATGAATTTGATAGCAAAGCTTCATAATCCATATATTGTGGAGTACAAGGATGGATGGGTGGAAAAGGTAGTCGATTCACATTTTTATTGATTTTCTAGATGGTTTGATCCCCTAATCAAACAATCAAAAGTGTTTTATTCTTGAAATATAATTGGTATAGCAGCACCATAATTTTCTGCTTTGAATTCATTTTTTGCAGGAATCCTATGTTTGTATTGTCACTAGTTATTGTGAGGGAGGAGACATGTAAGTTTGCTCTGCATAAGAAACATCAAAGTCAAACTTAGAAACTCTTTAAAACTGTTGGATTAAACAAACTGACAGATTCCCAGTTGGTTTTCTCTCACTCTGTTTCTGTTTTACAACTCTTGTCCTTTTTTTCTTTTCACCACATAAATACCACAATTTTCTAGGCTTATAGCAGATGCTGGAAGCAGAAATATATAACTAGATTTTAGGACCATAATCATGCTAATATGCACATTGTTATTGCAGGGCTGAGATGATAAAGAAAAGTAGAGGGACATTCCTTCCAGAAAAGGTAATGGAATGGAATATGTGAGAAACAAAAATCCTCATGAAACTACACATTTGAATACTTAGTGCTCATTCATCTCCCTTATTCTCATCCAGAAGCTTTGCAAATGGCTGACACAACTGTTGCTGGCAGTCGACTACCTCCACTCTAACCGTGTCCTTCACAGGGATCTGAAAGTATGAATGTTCAGTTATTTTCCGTTAAGAAGAGTTCAGTTGCCATAAATTCTTTCAACTAACTTTTCTTCTAAATTCCAGTGCTCTAACATTTTCCTTACGAAAGACAACGACATTCGGTTAGGTGAGAAACTTTTATGTCTGAAATTTCCCTTCTTTGTATTTCACTTCCATTGCTTCAACTGTACTTAATTCATGATATTCCTTCAATATAGGTGACTTTGGACTAGCAAAACTGCTAAACAAAGAGGATCTCACTTCAACGGTAATGGCTGCATAAATGTCTCATGTTATCTCTTTGAAATGGAGCTCCTATTAGCTCTACTCTTCTCTTTATTGTTTTCTCTTAGAAATTAAGATGGCTAGCAGTCTTCCACAATATGACACATCGATATTGCAATCTGAAAGAAAATTTTAACCAGAGAGAGAGAGAGAGAAACAATATGGAATATTTACGACTGAAAGAAAATGTTGATCTATTTATCTGAATCATAGTGCCAAGACCTCAACTCAAGTCATTCTTGCCACTTGCTGTGTTCTTACAGTTATTGCAACAGATGCTTAACAGATATCAACATCTTTTTCTTTTCTTTTTCATTTTTCTTTTGACACAAGCTCCCAATCTTATCCCCAAAGGTCACACTCTTGGGAAACAAAAGTGACTATGTTTTCTTTTTTTTAGTTCTATTTTTTGAGGTGAACATAGCATAAAAAAACTCTCTTCGCTTGACATAAAGTAGCAATTAAATTGATTTTGTAGATTTAAGAGCCTCTGCCTACTCTTGGATGAGAACTACATTTTGCAAGCATAGGTACTTATCCATCATGATTGCCATTTTAACCCATACTTAGCCGTCATGGTTGCCATTTTAACACTCTAAATGTAAAGAGCTTTGGGCCTATTCTCTTAAGACACTGTATCTATCCATTATGAGTCAATAACTAGAAGGATGCAAGTGACATACATTGCAGAATGTCATCTGATAGTCTGTTGTTCTGAAGAATATGAACTGAAAGCAAAAGAACCTATTATTTCCTGACACTAAAAATTTCTCTTCTATGCTTACCGACTGGCTTTAGTTGATTAGTTTAGGCTATCAATTCTTCAGGAGCTGATAGCTGATATAAACACATGTTATTTTTATTCCACACAGGTTGTGGGCACTCCAAACTACATGTGCCCAGAGCTTCTTGCGGATATACCATATGGCTACAAATCAGATATATGGTCCCTAGGTAATATTAATCTGACATGCTTGTTTTATTTAGGACCAAGAACATAGTGGCTGAACTTCCTTAGAATTGCATTTTTCCGATAGGTTGCTGCATGTTTGAAATAGCTGCCCATCAACCTGCATTCAGAGCTTCCGTAAGTGTTGGCTTAATCTGTTCTTATCAATTTTCCATGTACTTCAGAAAAACATCAAACTAAAATTCAGTTTCTGACAATTCTTTAAACAGGATATGGCGGGGCTCGTCAACAAAATCAATCGATCCTCCATTTCTCCACTCCCAACAGTGTATTCCTCTACTCTGTAAGTTGATGTCATTTTCTGCATAATTTCTCAACTTTTAGAAGATTATACACAAATACTCATCACCAAAAGTTCATAGCTAATACAAGGAAACCTTCCCAACTGCAGGAAGCAAGTGATCAAAACCATGCTAAGAAAGAACCCAGAGCACAGACCAACAGTGAGTTCAACTATTCCACATTCTATCTATTTCCTATGAGAGCACGCACATGTTCTGAGACTTGCATTCATTCTTCAGGCTGCAGAGCTGTTGAGGCATCCACATTTACAACCATATCTTGTCCAATGCCAGAATCTATCTCCTGTCTTTCTCCCAGTAAAGTCTGAACAAAGCGTCAAGGGTAAGCCAAAAGGAAGCCCTTTTTCCAACAAATATGGCAGTGGGAATTCCAAAGGTGAAAGGGCAAGCCCCCCAAAAGAGTTGGGAATTGTTCACCATGGAAAAGCTGATGCATTTATGGTACATCTTCTTGCAAATGATGCCAGTAACTCAAGAATAATCTTGGAGTGTACATCAAGTGCTCATCACAAAGAAGCACAACAAGAATTTACCTCTGAGTGTTCCGAGGTATTGCAGGAGCAGGAACCATTTCAACTTATTGAAGAAGCTGGTAGAGAAGGTAAGATTGATAATGAGAGCCATTACAGGAGATTGGAAATTGTGGATTCCATAGGTAATGGTGCTCTTACTAGTTACAAAAAGGCAGAGACAAATAACAGCTTTGAACATGACAAGATGCTCAGGCGCTGTTCACATGCGGGAAAAAATCCCGACTTGTATTCAGTGAGTGCTCCGCAAAAGACAACATTACCAAGTAGAAGGATACTTCCATGCGGAAATCAAGTTAGAGCAAAAGAACATAACTTCAGCAGTTCCAAGCAAGTGAGGAAAGAAAATATGCAAGAGCTAAGCAGAAGTACTTCTGACTTCTCAATAATGAGTACGCTAACCATACTGCATGATTATGAAAGAAAGATCAAGCAGGATCCTCAGAGCCAACAAAGAGCAGAAGCTCTGGAATCGCTGCTGGAGATTTGTGCAAGTTTACTTAGGCAGGAAAGACTTGAGGAACTTGCCGGTGTGCTAAGACCATTTGGGGAAGAAGCTGTCTCATCAAGAGAAACGGCAATTTGGTTGACAAAGAGCCTAATGAATGCTAAAAGCAAAATACCAATGGACCATAGAAAATGATAACTTAAACAATCGACCAATACATGGTAGTAACTATTGGTTCACCAAGTAGGTAACTTATGCTTTCAATCTGATATAGATTTGTCTCCATCTGTACGTGTCTCTCAGTTAAGCATCATGTTTGTAGAGCAACATTTTCTCATATGTTGCTTAAAAAATGCCATGATTAGACATCTACTGACAGCATAATCTGTACATTGTATTCATATTTTGAACCACAGAAGTATTGCTGATTTTTGCCTAGATTTCAGTTGTCGTTCCCTGGAAAGCAATGACTTGATGAATTTTCAAGAAAAAAAAGAGAGAAAAAAATGAAAGAAAGAAGAAAACAGACTTGAATCAGTAAATTGGTTGCAAGAGAGCTCAACGATTATATTTTTCATTAAGACCTATATACTCTTCATACTAACAAGAATCGAGCAAAGGCCTTAGATTTAGAAATGAGGCAAGTCAGCTGAGCACAGGAAACCAGCTATGTTTTCTGTGCACAGCAACGGCTAAAACAGCCAAGTGATTCGCATGGCTGTCAAGCTTTACAAAATGAAACCAAAACGGCAGTAAAGCACAGCGTTTAAAGGAAAGAAATAAAGCATTGACTAAACGACACAAGCAAATGTCGTATAGTGTCACAAGAAGTGCATCAAAAACGACAAAGCTAATGACCGTTTCAATGCAGCCAAATAGAAACAAGAAAAACGACATAAGAGACACAAAATTGGTAAAGTAATTAATGACGTCGTTATGTGCTCCAAAACACCATTCTTCCAGCTTAAAATAACAATTGCTTCTCACCATTGCCATTTTCTACTGAAATAATAAATGAAGGGTCATTTCTTTAGCACACCCTCATGATCTTGCGTCTGGTAAACACCCAAACAAGACCTCAGAATTTCAAATCTGTCTTTGGTTAAACCATTTGTAAAGATATCTGCTAGTTGAGCTTCAGTATTGCAATACTTGAGCTCGATTTCCTATTCTTTTAACAATTTCTCTTAGTGCATGATACTTCACCTTGATATGCTTTGTACACCTATAGTAAATTGGATTTTTAGCTATTGCAATTGCAGATTTGTTGTCCACATGTAACAGAGTACCCTTTTCTTGATTGAATCCAAGACCAGTTAATACCTTTTCTTAACCATTTAGCATGGTTTGAGGTTGCAATAATGGCAATATACTTAGCCTTTGCTGATGACTGAGTCATAACCTTTTGCTTTTTTTAGTTCCAAGTGAGCACAACACTACCAAATGAAAAATAGAAACCAGCAGTGCTTTTTGAATCATCCACAAATCTTGCCCAATCACTATCTTTATAACCTTGAAGCTCACTACTCTCTTGCTTCAAATACTTTATACCAAAATTGACCATCCCTTTAAAATACCTAAGGATTCTTTTTGCTACTATGAAGTGCAATATTGAGGGTGCTTGCATGAATTTGGATAATAGGCTTGTTGGAAACATTATATCAGGCCTTGTTGCAAATAAGTACGGAAGTAAGCCTATCATACTTCTGTATATGAGCCTTTTTGCTTTAGTAGATCTATCATCTTTACTGAACTTAGCTCCAGTAGTAAGTGGTGTGCTTACTACCTTGTAGGAAGTCATATTAAATTTCTTTAATAAGTCTGTTGCATACTTTATCTGATGCAAATAAACTGATCAAGAGCCTACACAACCACCATAACTAGAAAATAAGTCATTAGCCCCAAATTTGTCATTTCGAAAATATTCATCATTTGAGTTTTAAATTCCAATAGAACCTCACTGTTAGGACTTGTAATAAAAAAAATCATCAACATATAGAGCTGCAATCAGTGCAACTAAGCCATTTGAGCTTTTCACATATAATGTGGACTCATTCACACTTCTTTGAAGCCTTAACTTCTAAAATGTTCATCAACTTTATCATACTAGGCTTTGGGTGCTTATTTAAAGCCATGTAGGGCTTTAACTAGTTTGCAGACCTTACCTTCAGAACCTTATTCTTCATAACCTTCAAGTTGTTCAACATAAATATCTTCAGATAGATAGCATTTAGAAAAGCAAATTTGACATCTAAATGATAGATTTTCCAGCCTTCTCTTGTAGACAAAGCTGCAAGCATTCATATGGTGTCATGTCTTGCAACTAGAACAAAAGTCTCCAAATAATCCACCCTATATACCTGTGCATACTCTTTGACTACTAGCCTGGCTTTATATGTGTTGATGGAACCATCAAGATTCAACTTGGATCTAAAGATCCATTTAACACCAATTACATTATGATCAGTACGTCTCTCCACAAGTATCGAAGTGTCATTTTTCTTGATCATATTGTACTCTGCATCCATTGCATCTTTCTCATTTTTTTCAAGTATGACTTCTGAGTAACTTGTTGGTTTTGAAATAGCCATGGTACACTTACTATAAATATCTTATATGGTCTTGGTGCCTTTAATAGCTTGGCTTTCATCTTCAATATCTGTAGAATCACCATCATTAACCTGTAGCTAATCAGTGTCTTCAACAACCACATCATCTATGCTCTCAACAATAGAATTTTTTTAGTTTCACTTTTTCCTTTCATCAAAATTCACATCTTTATTAATGAAAACTTTCTTTGAATTGATATCATAAAGTCTATAACCTTTAGATATCTCACAATAACCAATATGCATAGCCAAATCTAACTTTGAGTCAAATTTTGTTCTTTTTCCATCTAGAACTTTTGCATAGAACACACAACCAAAAGTTTTAAAGTGGGAAACTAATAGTTTGTGTTCATACCACATTTCATAGGGAGTTTTGAAGGCCAGTACCCTAGTATGAGTCTTGTTCAGAATATAATTGGTAGTGTTAAATGTTTCTGCCCAAAATTGCTTAAGAAGATTCATCTGAAATAGTAAACATCTTGCCATTTTAGCAATAGTTCTATTCTTTCTTTTTGACATATCATTCTACTGAGGGCTAAATGTAACTGTCAATTGATGTTGCACCCCAAAATTTGCTAAGAACTTCTCAAATTCAGCTACAATGAACTCAAAGCCATTATCACTCCTCAAGGTTTTGATGTTCAAGCTTGTTTAGTTTTCAACAAGTGCCTTCAACTTGATGAACTTTTCCAATGCTTTTGACTTTCGTTTTAAGAAGTAAATCCAACAGTATCTGGTTAAATTATTAATAAACAAGGTATAATACTTATTTCCATTCAATGAAGGAGTTTTTATTGGTCCACTAATGTTTGTATAAACCAGCCCCAACTTTTGTTTAGCTTTCCATCTACTCTCCTTAGGAAAAGACTTTCGTGCTTGTGTGCTAAATTGACATGCTTTGTAGAGCTTTTCTGGCTTAATTATTCCAAGGAGATTGTTAGTGTAGAAGTCTTAATAAGCAATATACCAAGATAAGGGTGAATTGGTATTTAAAATTCTTTTTAAAATTTAAGTATAAAAATCAAGACTTTTGAAACCAAGGATTTCTTCTTGTGTCCAAAACAAAGTGTGTGCTTTTCTTGAGCAAGGTTTCAAAAACAAATTGAAAAGAACAAACAACAAATCAAGGTAAAATTTTTTTCTAAGTTAAATGCAAGTAATAAAACACAATATGAAAAAAATTAAAGACAGACAAAATTTTTATAGTGGTTTAGCTCTCTCTAGTGCCTACATCCACTCACTTGGAAACACTAAGAAATTTTAAATCTAGTAAGAGAAATGAGATTTTATGGGATTAAGCGAAATCTTCACACTTGCTTTTTCACAAGATCAAACGATCAAGCGAAACCCTTACAATTCTTTTTTACAGAATCAAGTGAAACCCATCAACAATAGTTTTTCATGGGCTTAACCACAAACTCACAAATAACTTTACAAGGTAAAGCCATAACCTTTATAATGGAGTACAAAGTTTAGTAAGAAATAACCTCTACAACGGCTGAATACCGGGAGTTTAAGCTTAAGTGTAGCAAGAAAAGAAATTTCAGCTTGAATGAAGCAAGTATAGGACTTTTCAAAGCTTGGTGGAAGACTAAATTGAAGTTAGAGAGTGATGATAAGCTTTTTTGAGGTCTGTTTAAGGTTTGAAACTTTATCTCAAGTCTTTTCCTATTTTTAAATGACTCAAGGGTAGCTTTTTATAGCTGAAGTAAAGTTTAGAGCCATTAGGTACAAGTTTGAATCAAATCTAACCGTTGCTGAAGCTTAAGGATCAACTACAACACACTTAGGATCAACTATATTTTTTATATTTCTGAAATGAGGGTTCCATAGTCGAAAATAACTTTCCTCTACTCAATCCAATTTTCGATAGCGTGATTTTTGCAAGTTTGAGCTGATGTAGTCAACTATGGCTTTGCTAGGTCAACTATGTCTCTTGATTTCTCTATTTTTCACACATCAAAGTAGCCAAGGTCAACTCCCACTATTCTAGGGTCGACTATGGTTGTGTTGTTTTTCAAATGTTCGAGATTTCTACTTTAAGGTTGACTATAGCCAATCCAGTTATTGTGGTTTTGTATATTTCAAGTTTTTCACTCTTTTTGTCTTTGGATTGACTTGAGTTTCTCTAAGGTCGACTCTTGACTTATGTCTTGAGGTTTCTTTAGCTTTTTGGCATTTCTCTTCAACTATTTCTTCCTTGTCTTATTCCTACAATCAAATAATAATTCAAGGCATGTTTACTCTTTGTTTTCCTTGCTGAGTATGCATTATTTGAAAGCTTTTATGTCATTTTCTAATGATGCAGGGCTTTTCAAACAATTATGTGACCTTATGAGATTAAAAAATATATTTAAGACAATTTCGAATGCTTGACATTAAGTTCAAAGTAATTTGTAACTTTTGTTAAATCAAAACATAATGTAACATAGACCTTCAACTATCACATTTGAAGCTGTTAAAAGTGTTAGCTTAATGAATAAGTGACAAGAATATCTAAGAATGGGGGTAAATTGGATAATAAAAAATTAGAGAATGAAAACAAAGTAGTTATAGTCAACTATGGTCGTGTCTTGTCTTTATAAACACTTTTCAAACTATTTGATCAAGTCTATAATGGACTATAGAAATTTAGTAGTCAATCCTAGTGCAGAAATGATTTTGAAAACTTGTAAAATAGGTCTTTTGAAAACTTTGATAATTATGCTAATTATAAATAACTGTACACAACCAAATAGAAGCCAAAGATTACTTTTGAAATACTGAAAACAATTTTCAAGTTTGAATAAAACAGGAGCAACTCATGTAAAATATTTCAAGAAATCTTTT